TGAGTGTAGGTGCAGCTGTGCATGTGTGCATATGTGTGTGTTGTTGCATTTAGGCCTCAGTTGGATAATCCAGGACAGTCCCCTCATCTCACAGTGATGCCCCGGTCAGGCTGCCAAGACTGTCTCTGCTGAGCTTAACATACCAAGGTTCCTGGAGTTGGGGCCTGGGGGGACCAGGGGCCTGCCATGCCCTCCAAGTGCTGCCCTGCCCCTTGTAGGCTAGGCCAGGTGAGGCTTCCAGGGTGGGTGTCAGAGTCCGCCTGGCATGGGACAGGGGCAGGGGGGCAGTGCCCTTACATCAGCCTGGGCCTTCCCTGCCACTCCTGCCCACAGCCCCTGCTGGCGCAGGTCGGCCGTGACACTGAGAAAACACTTGGCACTGTCTGCAGATGATAGCTGTCCTGGGCGATGTTTGCAGGGCATCTTTTAGGCCAAAACAAACATGCACACCTTGCCCCTCCCACGGAATGCAGGAAGAGCTGGAAGGTAAACAGGCACTTTGTGGCTCTGGGGAAGGGGCCAGATACTGAATCTGGGGCCTATGGAAGGACCTCAGGGCCTCAGAGCAGAGTGCTCAGCCCCGGGTGCTCCTGCCGAGGGAGCCTAGAAGCTCACAGTGCCTCCACCCAGCCCGCACTTAGACACCTACGCAGGGCTGTCCAGGTGGCAGACGCCCACTCTGATGCCCTCTCATCTCTCTGATGCCCCCCTCTCTCTGATGCCCCCTCTCTCTGATGCCCCCTCTCTATCTGATGCCCCCTCTCTCTCTGATGCCCTCTCTCTCTGATGCCCCCTCTCTCTCTGATGCCCCCTCTCTCTGATGCCCTCTCATCTCTCTGATGCCCTCTCTCTCTGATGCCCTCTCATCTCTCTGATGCCCCCTCTCTCTGATGCCCCCTCTCTCTCTGATGCCCCCTCTCTCTCTGATGCCCTCTCTCTCTGATGCCCCCTCTCTGATGCCCATCTCTGATGCCCCCTCTCTCTCTGATGGCCCCTCTTTCTCTTTGATGACCCCTCTCTCTCTGATGACCCCCTCTCTGATGACCTCTCTCTCTAATGCCCTCTCTCTATGATGCCCCCTCTCTCTCTCTGATGCCCCCTCTCTCTGATGCCCCCTCTCTGATGCCCCCCTCTCTGATGCCCCCTCTCTGATGCCCCCTCTCTCTCTGATGCCCCCTCTCTCTCTGATAACTCCCTTTCTCTCTCTGATGACCCCTCTCTCTCTGATGACCCCCTCTCTCTTTGATGCCCCCCTCTCTGATGACTCCTCTCTCTCTGATGACCCCCTATCTCTCTCTGATGACCCCTCTCTCTCTGATGACCCCTTTCTCTTTGATGCCCCACTCTCTCTCTGATGCCCCCTCTCTCTTTGATGCCCCCCTCTCTCTCTGATGCCCTCTCTCTCTCTGATGCCCCCCTCAGATGCCCCTCTCTCTCTGATGCCCACTCTAGCTCCGATGCCCCACTCTGTGATGCCCCCTCTCTCTGATGCCCACTCTCTCTCGCTGATGCCCCCTCTGATGCCCCCCTCTCTGTGATGCCCCCTCTTTGACACCCCCTCTTTCTCTGCTGTCCTCTCTTCCTAATACCTTGAGTACAGAAATTATTGGGCAAACTGGGTTGAACTCCCGACGCTCATGCCTCTCCAGTGTGATCACCTGGCCGGCGAGCCCGGCCCACCCAGAGCAGACTTTTGGTGACTGTTCATCACTGGAGCTTTCTGGGGCCCCTCCGTGCCCACCTCTGCTCTCCTGGGACAGCCGGCTGTCACGTGGTGCTGCTGTGGCTGGGCCTCGCTTAGGTTAGCCTCCATGCTGTAAGGATTTGGGGCTTTGGGAGGAGTGTGTGGTGCTGTTCCAGCAGAAACTACTCTTCTGTGTCTGGAGCCAATGCCCACAGGTGCTGGACCGCGGCTCGAGGGCCCCATCCTTACTCCTCTGAGTAAACTTCCCCACCTGAAGGTGGGGACCGATGGGCGGCCCTGCTGGCATCAGCCGGCACCCTGTGTTTTCTGATGGTCCTGGGGCCCTTTTTCAAGGGACCTGTGGGGGCTCCTGGCCATAGCCTGGTCTCGGCCCCTACCCCCGGCCAGCACAACATCCAAGTCCCCTCCTCGGGAAGTCCTCCTGTCCGGGGCCACCACAGCAGCAGAACCCCGTCCATGCTGCCCTGAGCTGCCCCACAAGGATAGGCAGGTTGCCTGGGCTCTGGTAGGGGCGGAGACAGGCTGTCTCAGCAGGGCCTCTGGGCTTTCACTTGTGCCAGGGGGAAGTGGTTTGGTGGGGGGCAGGCTGGGGTGCAGCAAGTCCCGGCAGGTGGGGCCAGAGCAAGGAGCGCTGCTGGGCTCTCCCAGGCACGCTGGCTCACCTGCCAGGTACACAGAGGTGTGGAGCCCTGCCCAGGGTCGCCTCATGAATCCCTGCCAGCACCCCCTCCTCAGCCTCCTTCCTCCTTCCTCCTTCCAAGCTGTGAGGCCCCATGGGCCCTGGGGTGCTGGACAGTGTTGTGAGCACATCCTGAGCACCCTCTGTGGCACCGTCCCCTGGGTCAATACTGCTTTGGCTCGGAACCACTTCCTTTTGCCCCTTCCCTGTCCGGGGCCCTCCTACCCACAGGGCCCTGCCCGGGGAGCGGGAGCAGGTGCTGATACAGGCTCAGAGGATGTCACCAGGACCTCATTGTTCTCTGCCATCTCTCAGCTCCCATTTTTTAGAGGGTTGTCTTTGGAGTGACAGGCTGGCAGGCAGCAGTGACAGACCTCTGACACTCATTTGGGCTCAGACACAAGCAGTGCTGCCATCCCCAGGGCCCTCCCGTGAGGCTTCACCTCACTGCTCTGAGGACCGTGCTGGCCACAGTGGCATCGCCGCCCGGGCACTGAGTAGGCCCCAGAGGGCAGGGGAGGCCTGAGTTGGGCAGGCCCAAAGGGTGGGCAGCCTGGGGGTCCAGCCTGTACACTAGGGCAGCGACCTCCGGCCCCGCCCTTTGATGGGGTCCGCTGGGCTCTCCTTGGCGCGGGGTTCCCCTGGACTGTGCCCCCAGCCCCTCCCGGCCCTTGCCTCCTGGATCCAGGCCGCAGACTGGGTTGCCGCGGCCCGGCCCGGGAGTCACCGCCCACTCTCTCTCCTGAGCCCCCAGCTCCACTCCACTCCCAAAGGCTGCTGGGGAAGGCCCCGTCCCGGGGGCCAGTGTTCGGGCCCACCCTGCGGCCACCACCGTGACAGCTGCTTCCTAGTGAGGAGAGTCCCACAAACCCCAGGGGCGGGCGGGCGCTAGGCTCTCTGCACTCTCCCGGCAGGGGCCCACCGACCGCGGAGAGAACCTAAGCCGCCGTCCCAGCTCACGCCTTGCTGGCCCGAGTCCAGGCAGCTACAGAACTAGCGAGGGGCCCTCGCTCGTGCGCCCCACAACCTACGCGCCCCTCTGCTGTGCGCCCCGCTCCCGGCACCCCTCCGCGCCTGGCGCCCTGCGTGGTGGACCCGCGGGGGTCTGGACACCTGCGCAGGGCGGCGCGCGGTCAACCGTGGGAACCCGAGGCGGCCTCGGTGCTCTTGGACACTACCGGCCTCAGGGGACGCGTCTGCAGTGGCTCGGAAGCCGGGCAGGGCGCTCGCGGTCCGGGCGGCTGGGAACGGAGCGGGCCTTTGGCATCCCGCGCCCGCTCACTGGAAACCATGCCCCTTTGCCGCGGTTCTTGGGAACGGCGGGTCCTCCTCGGGCTTCCTGGGGCTGATGGGACGCGGAGGATCACACTCAAAACCTCACCAGACGCTGGAACTTGACTTACGGTCCATTCAGAATAACTCAAAAGACTGGCATCACATTTATTATTATCTCTTGTTAAATATTTTCGATCTTTTCTGAGAACATGGTCTACAAGGGCATAGTACGTTTTCTGCCCGGTACATGCTTGGGTGGGTAGTGAAGAGAGGGGAGGAGAGCTGCGCACCGGGGCCGGGCTGGGGCCTCTGCAGAGAACAGCCTCGGGCTCACAGGCCAGTCCCACGTCGGGGCGACGTGCAGAGAAACGGGGAGGTCACGGGGACGACGATGACGTCATACATGCACTCAGCGTATCCCGGAGTAACCGCATGGTGCCGGGAAGGGTCGGACGAGCAAGCCCCTGCTCGCTGCGCGGCGCCTGTCCTGCAAGCGTCTTGTGGGGTGGGCTTGGAGGGTTGGGGTGGTGGTCAGTCTCCGTGGTTCTAACGGGGACGAGGGTCTCTCTGGGTGGGCAGTATGAGCTGGGATAGGGGTCCTGAGCAGAATGGCTCCAGCCTGCCTTCGGGGATCTCTCTGCTGCTCCCCTGGGAGGGTGCCATGACCAGCCAGGGTGATGTCAGGCACAGGCCAGGGAAAGGCCAAATGCACAGCCCCGAGAACATCCACTGAGTGCTGGGTGGCACAGGGCAATGCTGGGTGGTCCTTTGTGCCAGCCCAAGCCTTCCCGTGTGGATCCCAAGGTGTTCATCTCTCGGGAGCTGGTTCACAGCTTGGGAGGGGTGGCAGGTGGCAGATCCAGGCTCTGAAGGGAAGAACCAGACCAGCATCTCCAGACTCGGGTTCCTGGGAATCTGGGCCAGGTGGGCAGAGCGGGAGGCCTTCTCCAGAGGCAGCGTCTGCCCCGCTGGCCCCAACCTGGGGCAGGGGCAAGAGTCATCTAGATTCAGCACGACTGTCCCTGGGCACCTTCCAAGCTGAATTTGGAAAGCAAATTCTTCATAGCAGGTAAAACAGTCTTGGAAGTTCTGTTGAGAAAGACCTGCTGAAGGGCTGTCAACACCCAGGCCTAGGTGTGTGGGCTGCCTCTCTGCTGCGGGCTTGTCACATAGGTGACGGGGGTAGTTAGCTGTTTGGTCAGGCCCTCCCTTGCTTTTCTGAGATGGCAACATGGCCCCTCCTTTCAACTGTGCAGGGGTGGGTGAGGCCAGCCAGCCCCAGGGGTAAAAGCAGCTGGTGCATGTGGAGGGTGGGGCATTTGGGAGACCTCGGTGACCTGCATCACTGTGTGACTCCCAGACCTACAGATTCCTCATCAGATAATAGGGACCAGGCCACCACCCACTGTGATGAAAGGAGGTCATCAGAGAGACTCCCATGGAAGTGCTAGCCCCAGGACCAGCACCTGTGGACGCTGAACTAAATGACATCTGAATCTGAGGGGGAGGGGCTGGAGGGTGGCCCTGGACAGGCGTGGTGACAGAATTCTGGGAGCCTTAGGCCTGGAGTTTTGCTCTTCCTAGCTGGGAAGCCTGCAGAGAGGGAAGAGGACACTCCCGTGCGGCCAGAGTGAAACCAGATGAGTGCCCAACCTGGGCCTCCAGCCCTCTGCCCAGCCCACCGGGCCTGAACCCTCAAGTGCCGGGGCCCAGGGGCAGCACAGAGCAGGGGCCTTGTCCAGTGCTGCTTAGTAGCTGTTGTCTGTGAAGAAGGGCACGTGGGCAGACGGGGAGCAGTGGTCCTCCTCGCTTGGCTCCAACAGCTCCCCATACTCGCTGTTGTAAAACACCTGGCCTCCTCCGGCCCCCCGGTCAGGCCGCCGCCGCCTCCCTTGGGAGTCAGGGTGTGCCCTGGTCACATCCACATTCTGGCCAGGTCCTTTACAACTGCCAAGACAGGGAAGGTGATGTTAGTAAGAAAAGAAGTCGGGCGCGGTGGTGCCCGCCTGTAATACCCGTACTTTGGGAGCCCGAGGCAGGCGGATCGCCTGAGGCCAGCCCAGGCAACAGGGCGAAACCAAGTGTTTTCAAAAAATACAAAAACTAGCCCGGTGTGGTGGTGCATGCTGTGGTCCCAGCTGGAGCCCACGAGGTGGAGGTTGCAGTGAGCCAAGATTGTGCCACTGAAAAACAAACACACACAAAACAAGGAGGAGGGACTGGATCCCTGTAAGGGTCTGATGGGAATCACCAAGGACACAGCGGAGCATAAGACATGTTCAGACTTCGAAAAACACACACAGACTAGACTCTAACAGCAAAGCTGATGGATCCGATTCAGCACTCACTGGAGCTTTGTCCCTAGCCTGGACACGAGACTGTGAAGAATGTCCAACTTCATCCTTTAACCCACTTCTCACGGCCTTGCCCATCTCAGTGAACGGCACCAGCGTCTCCTCGGCCGCTCATGCCAAGCACCCTGGGCTTCTCCTTGCTTCCTGCTTGCCCTCACTCTTCTTATCCCATGCATCTGGAAGTCCTGTCCATTCTAACTCCAGAACACATCCGCACATCTCCATTCCTGCCCTCCTGCGGAGCCGGCTGCGTCCCGGCCAGCTCTGTGACATCCTCCTGCGGACCGCTCTGCTTCCAGCCTGGCCTCCCTGCGGTCCAACCTTCAGGGAGGTCCTTCGACTTACGCATCCTCCAACGGCTTCCCATCACTCCGTGAGGGAAATCCCGGCTGCTCCCCAGGGCACAGGAGGTGGTTTCTGCCACTGCTCTCCCCTCTGCGTGCCCCATCGTGCACCAGCCTCACTGCTCACTTTCTTGGCATGTTTTGAAGATGTTGATTTATTGTTTGGTGCTTTGCATGGTGCTATGGAAAACTCTTGATCGTAAGTTTAAAATATCAGTTCTCTTTTTTTTTAAGATTTGAGACAGAATCTTGCTCTGTCACCGAGGCTGGAGGACAGTGGTGACTGCAGCCTCCACCTCCCGGGTCCAAAGTCTCCTGCCTCAACCTCCCAAGTAGCTGAGATTACAGGCGTGTGCCACCACGTCCATCGAATTTTTTAAATACTATTTATAGAGACAGGGTCTCACTCTGTTGCCCAGGCTGGTCTTGAACTCCAGGCCTCAAGTGATCCTCCTGCCTCAGCCTCCCAAGGAGCTGTGATTACAGGTGAGAGCCACTGCCTGGCCACATGTCTCTTTTCTTTCTTTCCTCAATTTCGTTGGCTCCCATTTGTATCTTCACATTGTCCATTTCTATTCTGAAATTTTGAATTTCAGATTCACGGTGCTGCTGCTTGTTTCATTATATGTTTAATTCATGTTGGAGCATTTTGTTCGTTTTCCTGTTTCATTTAAACAATTTTCTACTGGGAAGTTTTGAGTCTAATGTTCGGTTTTAGTCTTACAACTTTGTATGGATAGTGCTTTTTGGGGGGTTCATGATTATCCATGTTGGGATTTCCTACACCAGAAATAGCCACTTATCCTGTGGATGGGATAGGGATTTTGGTGGTATCTTCACTCAAAGTGCCACATCAAACCTGTATCTTTGGCATCATCTCCAGTTCCTTTGGGGGCATTCTTCCTTCTGAAGGCTCCAATCACGTCCTGTCTCATCCTGCCACCAGGGGCCAGTCAGTCTCTTACCCAGGAGAGCTGGGCCTTCCACTGGCACCATGCAGCCCCGCTGACCGATCACAAGCCCAGAGTTTCCTGACCTCCTTTCACCCACAGATGCAGATGAAAAGCCACATCTACAGGGCATGGTCTCCGGCATCCTAAGTGGCCATCAAAGGCACTGGACGATGCAACCCAGGAGTGAGAAGGCGGTCACCCCCCATGGGGTGAGTGCTGACCAGAGGTTAACAGGAGACAGCGAAGGACCAGGCAGATAGATTCCTCCTTCTTCTCCTCACAGACCCCCCCCATGGCACATTCTCTCCTTGCACCTGTTTGGAGAGCGTTCTGTACGCCAAGCAAATGCACGGGCCAGTGACCTGCGGCACCTCTTGGTGGCTCATCATGAACAGAGGGCAAAGAACACTGCCCTCTGCTGCCGCTATAGGGAGGTGCAGTTTCTCAAATGAACAAATCCATCCTGTGTGCTCATCTGTCATATGACCTCTGGATACTATCTTGCTTCCTTAGGACGCTTCTCTTCTGGAATGTTCTTCTTCCTTCACCACTAAGCATCAGAGGGGCTGCACTCCCTTCTGGCTTGCTGCACTTTCAGAAGCAAGATGGCTGCCCAATGCCTTGGACATGACAGGGAACTCTGCTGTCCCCACAGCCCAGTCGCCTCTATCACCCCCTGGTCTGTGTTGCCACAGCCCCAGGGACCTTGTCACGCTCTCCTCTCACGGGACAGTGCTCATCTGACTCTGACGCAGGTTCGGCCGTGCTGGTCCTGGTGCCGAGTCCCCAGCTCATGCTTACACGGAGTCCGTCTCCTGGCCAAGCCACAGGCATGGGCTGAGTGGCCTTCTTTGATCTCAAGGAGCTGTGCTGTTTTTCAAAGGTGCACAGAGGCTTGAATTAAAGTAGCAATCATCCTCTGCTATACCTTTCACCTGTACTTAATTACCTTGTTTTTTGAATGTCAGAATGCTGTTTGGTAAAGAAAAATTAGCCCAAAACTATTTCCATAAATGTAACCACCATTAATTTTCCAAAACCAGGTACTAACAGGAGTCACCTGATGAGCCGGGCGTGGTGACTGGCGCCTGTAATCCCAGTACTCTGGGAGGCTGAGGTGGGCAGATCACTTGAGGCCAGGAGTTAAAGACCAACCTGGCCAACGTGGCAAAACCCCGTCTCTACTAAGAATAAAAAAATTAGCTGGGCATGGTGGGACATGTCTATAATCCCAGCTACTCAGGAGACTGAGGCAAGAGAATCGCTTGAACCTGGGAGGCAGAGGTTGTGGTGAGCTGAGATCACGCCACTGCACGCCAGCCTGGGCGACAGACCTTGTCTCAAAAATAAATAAATAAATAAGTGAGGCCAGGCGCGGTGGCTCAAGCCTGTAATCCCAGCACTTTGGGAGGCCGAGGCGGGTGGATCACGAGGTCGAGAGATCAAGACCATCCTGGTCAACATGGTGAAACCCCGTCTCTACTAAAAATACAAACAATTAGCTGGGCATGGTGGCGTGTGCCTGTAATCCCAGCTACTCAGGAGGCTGAGGCAGGAGAATTGCCTGAACCCAGGAGGCAGAGGTTGCGGTGAGCCGAGATTGCGCCATTGCACTCCAGCCTGGGTAACAAGAGCGAAACTCCGTCTCAAAAAAATAAAAAAAAATAAAAAAAATAATAAATAAATAAGTGAATCTTTTAAGTAGACACTAAAGTCTTCATTTAATCCATATCCCTAAAAGTTTCAATGTTCAAGTTGGCCAAAACGTTTTTCCCTTGGTGATCATGCTGGGCAAGTGGAGTTAACTTTGTATCCAGGTCACCCTCTGGACAGGCATATGTGCGTATTCATTTCTCTGTTGCCAGAATACATCCCAGCCAGTTCAGATGACAGTATCTACCTGGCTTCTATGGCTACTGCGTGAAGTTCAGGGGTTTTGGGGCTGGGGCGCCCTATCCCCACCTAGAGAAGGGTGTGCATGTCCAGGCTATGGTGGGTTACGTGTGGTGTCAGAAAGACGCAGCATCTGAGCTCTGTCAGATGACAGGGAGGTGTCGGGACCAGCACCCAGGTGCTCAGCATGTGACGAGGGGGGGCTCCTGTGGTGCTGAGAAGGGGTGTCTCAGAGCTGCTCACCTTGAACATATGAAAAGGTCATAGGGAGCCATGAAAGGTTCCAGGAAGAGGGCTAGGCACATCCAGGCCCCAGCCTCCCTCCTCCAGGGGAGGGCAATGCCCACGCTGCACAGCAGGAGGCTCATGAAGCCCTTACCTGAAGCCGCTTTCTCGTCTATGCCTGCTCTCAATCTGCTCAAATTCCTCTGAGGCCAGCACCATCCCACTGTCTGTCTGGTTGTCCTGTGTGGAGGACAAGCCAGGCTTTGGATCCTGCCTGAGACCCTCCTGCAGGGCAGCCACCCCCAGCCGAGGGACACAGCATGACCTTGCGTCACTGCTGACCGAACACCTGTCCCCGGGAAACTGAGCTGAAAACAAGGCTCCATTCCATCCCAAGGTGAGGGCCACATGCCCCTGCCATGGAGGGAGACCCTGAGGTCAGGGGGCTGTGGCTGGCCCGTGGACACCTCATGCTGGGGGACCTCCATGGTGTCTGAGCCTGTGCTCAGGGTGCAGCAGCGCTCTGGGAGAACCAGGGACTGGCAGCTCACAGTTCAGAAAAATGATCAGCTGCCTCCTGGTTTGGGGGGCTTTGTTACCCTTTGACTGTGGCTTGGCGTGGTTTTTATTTTGAATCTCACGAGAGGGGAACTGCAATCTTTTCCGAGTCCCCCAACATCTCCAAGTGGCCCCGGAGGCAGGAATCCAGATGTCTGTGTTCTGGCCAAGAGCTCCTAAGCGGCCCCCTGCCCAGCACTCACTGACCAGGCCCAGGACCCCTGACCCTGATACCAAGGAGCAACTGTCCTTCCACTGGGTTTTCTTCGCTGCTGAGGAGGGGAGGCCTTGTGTGGGGGTGATGAGGGCATAGGACAGACAGCAGCGATGAGATGTGGCATCGCGGGAGGGCCCAAATGTGCCCAAGGCTCTCCCTGGACTTGCACTTTCAAGGGATAGTCTTCTCTGTTAAAAAGCTGCAACTGGTTTTTCCCACTTGCTGAGGAACTCTGGATGCTGCCTCCCCTGCCCCGGTCCTGACCCGACAGCACAGCCCCACCCTTCCTATGAAGTACCACAGAGGCTTTGAAGGTTGTTGGGGTCATGGGGAATTCTTCAAATGTCTTCATCCTGGAGGAACCACGGGTCTGAGTCCCTCTGGCCAGGCACCCGGGGAAGGACACACAGTTGTAATACCTGCGGGGAGACGTCAGAAGGTGCTAAGGTGCACCCCTCCTCGAAGCTCTCCCCGCTGTCCCTGTGCCCCCTCTTCTCCAGGGAAGGACCCCCAGCCTGGGCAGGAGTACGGGGGCCTGGATCTGAGTGCTGGCGGGGGTCCTTCTCCTCGGGCCTGGCCTCAGACATCTGCCCCGCAGCCCCAGCAGCAGGGCTTCCTCCTGAGTCCGCTGCTGAGCTCTGCGATGGGAAGTGAGGGGATACCCAGCCCGGTGTGGCACGGAGCTCCTCCAGAGGATGGGCCACCCTGGGCCAGGAAGACGGCCCTGGGGCTGCAAGCCGCCGACTGCCCAGCCCACACATGTGTGCCCTAAGGCACGGGTTGCAAGGTTGGTGAAGGGAGCCTGGCCAAATCCAGCCCGCTGTTCGTGTCCCCGCAGGCCCGGCCCTGTCCTGTGCTGGGGCAGATGGACAGGACGCAGAGCCTGCATCTCAGCAATGCTGCTGTGAATGCGGCGGCACAGCGTCCCGAGTGTGGACGGCCGGGGATAAGAGCCTGGGCAGAGTTCCGGGAATCAGGCTGCGTTCTCTTCCTGACCGTGCCGCGGTGGGACGCCTTCCCTGCTCTCAAGGACTCTGAGGACTCACCCCCAGACTCATCAGAGATTTAGCCCCTGGGAGGAATCTGGGCCCAAACGCAGTCCACTGCACCCTCCCTGTGAGAAAATGTGCCCTTGATGTTGGGGTGGGGGACACTGGCGAGTGGACAGAAGGGACTCAGAACAGCATGTGGCCAGGTCACATGGCCGTGGAGGGGCCCTGCAGTGGGTCATTTAAAGTCACTCTGCGCTCTGAATTGGTGCACACTTGTCTCTGAAGTCGCACGGTTCGCTTTTCCCCGATGGCACAGAGGATAAAATGCACCCCGTCCACACGGCTTTCTCCCCCCGTTCCCGGACCGGAAGACAGCTGACCTGGCGGCCAGGCTGTGGTGCTGTAGGCTTGGCGGGCTGTCCTCAGCGTCGGCCTGGGTGACATGCAGGGCCGTGGTGGATGCCTGCGAGAAGCTGCCCTCTTCTGAGCTCTGAGAGCCTCGAGGGGCCATGTGGCTCTCCTCCTCTTCCTGGCGGGAACAGGAGAGGCAGCTGGGCCGGGAACCATCAGGTACTGCCCTCAGCCCTCGCCCCTGCGCTCGGGCCTGCTTGGGCTCCTGACCCCTGAAATACGGTCCTAACAGGTGGTGTGGGCACGTGAGCACTCCAAGGAGGAAAGCAGCTCACGCCAGGAGCCAGCACACTTCAGCCATCAAGGCAGGGGAGGGGCCATGGCAGCAGACTGCTGGCTATGCCAGCCTCTCTAAATTCTCCAAATAGCCCTTCCAGGTACCTCATTTATGGATGAGGCAGGTGGGGCAGGCCAGGGCTCAGCTGGATCCTCCTTCCTCCAGTCCCTGGCTGAGCCTGCAGCCTCAGGAACTAGGGCCAGCTCTTCCCACCTTCTTCTTTGGATGGAACCAGACCCAAAGCACCCATCCCGGTCCCTAAGGTCTGGGCAACAGGCCGCTCCCTGGTCCTTCCTCCAGGCCCCACCTTGAGTTGGGTCACAAGCTGGCTGCATCCCCCACCCTGGAGGAGCACCAGGCGGGGAGGGGTCGGGACACACAGGTCAAGGTCCATGTGCTCAGCGAAGTCGGGGACAGAACGGGCACCAGGTGAAGGAATGCCTCATGATGATGCCAGGGAGACAGGGCTCCCTCGCAGGCTAGTGGGGACCAGCCTGGGATTCCCCTTGGGCAGGGACATGCTCTGACCATCCACATAGCATCTGGAGCAGACACCGTGGGTGTGGAGTGGGTGTGCGCTCAACAGAAAGACGCAAGGGTGTGGAAAGGAGGCGTGGGTAGGGGCCCAGGACCACACACCCTAGCCTAGCAGCTGAGAGGTGGGCAGAGCCTAGAGGGGCTTAGAGGGGAAGCTGGGGCCAGCGACACAGGGCAGGGGTCAAAGGCCACAGTAGGACAGGGTGGGGAAGGGGCTCACTTGCAGGCTCCCGCCCTGGAGCAGGTGCCCCAGAATCTCCACCAGCTCCGAGAATGCAGGTCTCGCCTTGGGGTCTCCAGACCAGCAGTTGAGCATGATGCGGCGTCTGCGGGGGTCACGGGCTGTTGGACTGCGTGCACCCTACCCCACCCCACCCCTGCACCTTGAGCTCCCCAGCCTTCCTGGACCCTCCCACCCACTCTGCCCTCCTGACACACCCCCCACCTTTGTCCACCGGTCCTGGCTCTTCCTTGAAGGGTTAGCGCAGCGTCCCCTCCCAGTGACGCTTTCCCTGAACACGAGGCTCTGTCTGTTCCCACAGCGCCCAGCCGCCCCTCTCGGTGCCCATCGAAGTTATGCCACAGACTACCTGTGTGTCTTGAGGGTGGGGTCCAGGCCTGTCCTGCTGGCCCTGGCTTCCCTGATGCCACCTTCTTATGGCCACAACCCCCACAGCCCCCAGGCTTGCTGCCCCTAACACCTGCAGGGCTACGGGGAGGCTCACATGGCGGGAGTGGCCAGCTCCGGGGCCCTCATCCTCGTGCCGTCTCTCAGCCGCTGGCAGAACTCCTCATTGATCTGCACCCCAGGGTACGGGGAGGCCCCTGGCAACGAGAAGAGGAGTTGGGTGGGGTGCAAGCCACCCGCTGCTCAGCCCAGCCCCCCAAGTCACTCTGTCCTGTCCCTTCCCCCATCCCTGGGGTGGGGTGGAGACGGCTCACCCGACTGTGCTCTATCTGGGGGCCTGGGCAAGTCACTGCCCTCCCCGCTCTAGTTCTTCATTTGGGTGAGCTGTCTGCTTGCTAGGGGTGCCAAGAGCATCCATGCATTGGCGACATGGTAGCCATCATGGTTACGGGATCATCAGCGGCGGGGGAGCTGCCTGCAGTCAGTTTCAACAAAGCCTCTCTTGCCTCTCACTGCTTCTCCTGATGCTCCCCCCAACCCCTGCTGCCCCCTGTCCTGGACCGCCTAACTCTCTCCCTGGGCCCCTCTGGCTTACCCAAGCTCCCACGCCTCCTATACTCTTCTTCCTGCTCCTTTAGTTTCCATAGTAGCATGTATCACTGTTGCCACGTGGTAACATTTTAACTTATTCAGGATCATTGCCCTGCCCCGGCCTGGGGACTTCATCATGTTTGCAGTGGGGCCTGAGTTCCCATGTGGGACTCATGTAGCAGGCACACCCGATGACCAAGCCCTGAGGTCCCTCTGGGACTCACATGCACAGGCTCAGCCCTGGCACACGCTTCAGCCTGCACTCCCCCCAGGACGGTGGCCCATGTTGGAGGCAAAGTCCTCTTGGAGGTTGGGCCAAGCTGGGGAGGGGTGGGGGGCTCTTGGTGGCCCACAAACCACTTGCTTCAGAATGATGTGGCACACACCTCCAGGTGCCCAGTCCCTTGCTCCAGGAGGGCTGGTCGTGTAACCTGGAGCTGGCGACCTCACCTCCTCTCCCCACCAGCACCCCATCCTGCACTCACCCAGAGAGAAGATCTCCCAGAGCAGCACCCCAAAGGACCACACGTCACTCTGCGTGGTGTACACCTTGTCAAAGATGCTTTCAGGGGCCATCCACTTCAGGGGCAGCCGGGCCTGGGGAGGTGGAGGGAAGAGTGGCCCGCATGGACGGGAAGAGAGGGCTGAGGCCAGGAGCTCTGGCACCCTCTTCACAGGGCCCTCTGCCTGGATTGAAGGTGTCTCCCTGCTTCCGTTCTCCTGGGCCTGTCTGGGCCCCCTCTTCTCCCGAGCTCTCTGGGGAGGGGTATCGGGGGAGACGGCATGCCTTCGTCCAGCCCTAGACCCCAGCCCAGCCTCCTGACACAACTCATCCCTGCATACCCTCACTGTCTCCTTTGACAGGCACGCTCTATCCACTCACTGTCCCCACCCTAGAAGCCCAGCCGTCACTCCTGACGCCTGCCTCCTGGGCTCCTGAGGCATCTCTGCCACTGGCTGTCTCTCTCCTCCTCACGGCCTCTACCTGGGAGCCCAGGTGGCCAGGGACCTTCTGGACTGGCCTCCATCTCCACCACAGCACCCCCACTCCCTTCTCTTCCCAGTTGATGCCATCAGGGTGATTTCTGTCAATGCACACCTGACCTTTCCCTCCAACCAATGGCCGCATGGGGCTGGATGGCCCATCATGCCCAGGCCCTGGGCCCATCCTGCTCCCCACCCCCTTGACACTCTTCCTGCCTCTCCCAGGGGCAGAACCGTAACCCGCCCTGGGGCTCACCCAGGCACCTGCCACCCTGCCTCAGCTCCACTCAGAGGCACACTCCGCCTCCTGAGTTCCACGTACTGCACCAAGCTGGTCCATTTCCAGGACAGGTGCCACACAACGCCTTGCACACACGGGCCCCACAGGACAGGCCCTGGGAGTCAGGGCCCATTGCGTGGACCAAGGCACTGGGGAAAGTACAAGTTCCGGTTGGAGGACTGGGCCCCACTTGTCAACTCCCGTCTCCACTTCCTTGCCTCAGGATGCCTAACAATGGGGGGGAGGCCCTAGGGTCCCCTGGGAACAGGGAGTGAGTGCCCCAGCAGCTGGGCAGGTGGATGGCCAACCAAGGAGGTCACGCCCCCCTGTGCCGGCACTCCCTCTCCTGGACAGGCAGGCTGTGGTAGCACCCCCTTCCCTAGTCAGCCCCACGGGCCCTCTCCTGGATGGCCGCACTCACACTGCCCTTGCGGACGTAGTCAGGGTCTTTGTAGATGTCCCGGGCAAGGCCAAAGTCACAGATCTTTACCACGTCGCTTTCTGACAGCAGAATGTTCCGAGCAGCCAGGTCTCTGTGGATGCACTGTGGCGCGGGAAGGCGGAAGGAGGGCTGTCAGTGCAGGCCCCGGGGGTAACAACCACACCTGAAGCTCCAGGGCGCCCAAGCAGTGGGGACTCCAGGGGTGCTCTCCCTGAACTACGCTCCTTTGAGGAAAGATTTCTGTCCATCTCTAGGGCTCATCCTGGAGAGGGCTTGTGGAATTGTGGGGACAGCACAGAAAGTTGTAGAGTCAGACAGACTCTGCTGCTGAGCAGCCATGAGGCCTTGGGAGGTCAGCTCCATGCTTGGGGCAGAGTTTCCACCTCTACAAAGTGAGAGAGACACCAGCGGACCACAGAGCCTTTGCGGGGTGAAGTCAGAACCAAGCACATCTTGGCAACTGGTGAGGTTGCACCCTTCTCCCCTCTGAAGGGCCTTCCAGGGAAGCTCACCTTTCGGGAAGCCAGGAACTCCATCCCTCTGGCCACCTGGAAGCTGTAGCAGACAAGGTCTTCCATGGTCAGCGGGCTCAGCCACAGGTCCTCGGCTGCGCAGCGGAGCAAGGTGGGCTCAGGAGGCGCCTCCTCCATGGCCTCCATCTACCCAGCCCCAGGGAACGATTCTTTGCCCAACCCTGACTGCGTCCCTGCCACAGCTAACAAGCGTGTCAGCCCCTCTCCTGCCCCTCAGACTCTGGGACACCCATGTCCTACTCCCAGAGCAATAAATCCTGTCTGTAGGGGCTTGGCCGCTGCTGCTTGGCCCTGGGCTGCCTGCCTGGTCTGCAGGGCAATTTCCTATTCATCCTGTAATGATCAAGCCGATCATAAAACACTGGCATGGAAATTGTCCCCAAAGTGTCTTCCCTTCCTAAGGCAGAACCCATTCCACGCTCCCCCATGAAAGCTCCCACTGAGGGCCCCAGGCCGGGTTATCCCAGGGTGCCTGATCAAGTGCCTTTCCCACGGGCTTGTTAGGCACTGGGAAAGGGGAAGAAGCCAGGCTCTAACCTTCTCGGTCTGGAGAAGCCCGCCCTGCTCCACCCTTGCCCGTTAGGAACCGTGCAAGGAGGGCCCCGTCGCTGCTCCCTGGCCTCCTCCGATCCGCCCTGGCGCCCTCCACCATGGCGCGGAAGCGTCTGCGCTGCTCCGGGGACTTCTCCTGCGGATGCATGAAGCTAGTTCGGGGGCGCCCCGTCGTCCACGGCAGAGGCGCCTCCATTCCTCCGCCGCCCGCGGCGCCCCGCAGGCTTAGGGGCAGAGCTCGCGCCCCGGCGGCCGCCCACTCACTGCATAGGGGCTGAAGGTCTCCCGCTTGGCGCGCAGGAAGTTGGAGAGGTTGCCGTACTTGCAGTACTCCACGATCACCATGAGGGGCCCTGCGGCGGGACAGGGCAGGGGCCGCGCGTTCGGGACCCGAGACGCACTGAAGGCACGCTCCGCCCTCGCACCCGCGCCCACCGGCGCCTCCCAGTCCCGGCCCTGCGCCCCTCCCTCCCGGGGCGCCCGGCCCCGCCAGGCCTCGCCGTCCCCACGGGCCGCGCCGCTCCGTACCGTTGGGCTTGGTGCACGCCCCCAGGAGGTTGACCACGTTGAGGTGGTTGCCGATGTGAATCAGGATCTTGAGCTCCGACATCAGCGCACGGTGCTCGCTGGCCGTGGCACCCTCTGGAGGAGACATAGGCCTGACGTCCGCCCCCGTCCCGGCACGTCCCCCTCCCCGGCCACTGGCTGCGTAGCTAAGGCACAGACAGCGCTTTTGAGAGGGGAAGGGGTGCCCAGGGTCCCCAGGACATCCTGCTGGTCCCACGGAGGCAGGGGTTAAGGGGGTAGCTTGGCTCCGACTCCCGCAGCCTCCCTGTAGAACCTTGGATGAGACCGGCCTCCAGTCTGTTTCCCCTCCTGAGCTGCCGTCCCACCGGCCCACCCCGAGCTGCGGCTCCTTGCCAGCTAGGCTGCCTCTTCCGCCCGCTGACCCCACACCTTTCAGCATTTTCACGGCCACGGTGTCACAGCTGCTGCCCTTGTTGATGCCGAAGGCGGAGGCTTCCACCACCTTCCCGAAGGCACCGTGGCCCAGCACTCTCCCTGTCGGGGCAGGGAGCCAGCTGCAGGTGAGCTGTATGGGGTGAGGGTAGAGAAAGGTGGGCGGCAGGGGCGCCCCATCCAGAGGTCCAAGAGGACAGGCTCGGCAGCAGGAGGAACGTGGCGAGCCTCTCTGCCAAACAGGAAGAGCGTGGGAGCCACAGCAGGAAGAGAGGGAGACAGGTGGACCGGAAGCCAGGCATCCTCTTGAGCAGGTGCGACAGATCCACCTTGCTCAGGGTGGCAGCAGGTGACCTTGGGGAGCCTAGGGACTGGGAACCTTGGCTAAAGTTCTGGGTACCCAAGCCCAGAGGGACAGGTCAGGCCAGGTGGGCCTTCCTGGCACAAGTTTTGAGAATGGAGGGGTTCAGCCTGCAGCAGGTGGGTGGGGGTAGGAGGTGCAGGTGGGGAAGGCTGGGGGCTGGCCTCACCCAGGTGCAGCCGCTCTCGGGGGAACTCCCACTGGCTGGCGTCGTAGGACAGGTATTCGCATTGCTCCTCCAGAGGCACCTCCCCGGGATCCATGATGATGGACAGGTAGCCGGTTTTGATGTCTGCGTGGGCCGGCTGCGGGGCAGGATGGGGAGGAGCGGGGCAGCTTACTGATTCCGCCACACCACTGTGGCTTGGGCAGAACTTTGCCCAAGACAGATGGCATTTCCTGCCGGGCTCTCAGTCAAGGAGGGGGCAGAGTAAGAGGCGGACAACCTCTGCGGGGATGGAGCCCAGGGTGAAGGACTGGGAGGCTTCCCAGGAGACAAGGCTGCCAGGTGAACTAGGGCGGGCGCCTTGTTCTTTATTTTAAGCGTGGCTATCTGGGGGAAGGCCTGACAGAGACCCTATCAGGAGCAGGGAAAGGGCACTCACCCTCCTCATGTTACAGAAGATGAGGAGGAGGAGGACCCAGAAGAAGACAGCGATGACCCCGGTACCAACAAGGATCACGATCTCCATGTTGCCTTTATCCTCAGAGCCTGTGTGGGCAGAAAGGGGCTGGTGTGTGTGTGTGTGTGTGTGTGTGTGGAAGAGGGTGCACCTGCAGGCGGTGCCCCTTCTGGTGGGCACGACTTGCCCGAGGTGGCCACAAGAAGGCGCTAATTGGGGGCGGGAAGGTGGTTGAGAGGCTCAGGCTGAGGCCGGACCTTCCACGGCCACACTGGCTGAGGAGTTGACACAGCCCTTGGCGTTGCACACGCTGCACAGATAGCGTCCCGCGTCCTCCTCGCGCACGCGCTGGATGCTCAGCTTCTGGTTGGAGTCCGCCAAGTCGACTCCTGCAGGGGTGGGGTGGAGGGGCAGGTCCACCTGGGTTTGGGGTCCTTGGCGTCGCACGCCTCCGGACCACCCTTCGCCTGGGCCACCCCTCCCTACCAGACTTTTCCTCCAGCAGCCTTTCGTCTTTGTACCACATAATGCTGGGCACGTGCGCTCCGGCCACCAAGCAATGCATCTCCAGGGAGTCGCTCACGTTCACCAGGAGGTCAGTCAAGTTCTGCGTGAGTCGAGGGGCTTCCAGGGCTGCAGGCAGGGGTCGAGAGGGAGCTAAGTGGAGCTGCACTTAGCAGGAGGGCCCTCTCTGGTCTGGAAGCAGAGGTAGGGAAGGACCCCCGGAAGCCCGACTAAGGGTTCGTGCGAGGGGCAGGAGGCAGATTGTCAGGAGAGGGTGTTCCTGCAGCCCAGGGCTGTGAATGGACCTCCCAGGGGCGCGTTCTGCAGCGGCAAAGTCGGAGGCAGCCACAGCTAGGAGACAGCACAGTCTTCCCCACGGCCAGCCTCACCCTGCACCGACAGGTACTTCTTGTGGCAGTGCTTGTCGTGGTTGCGCTGGTCCTGCACCTCGCACACATAGTGGCCCTCATGCTCGGGCGCCACGTGCGGGATGCTCAGGTTGAGCGTGGCATGGCCTGGTGCCACCTCCTCCAGGCTGGCGGCCAGAGGGGTGGCGAACAGGTGCACGTTCTTGCAGTCGAGCAGCAGTGGGTTCCCATGCGCATCGTGTAGCGTGGACAGGTTGAGGCGGTACCAGCGCAGATGCTCGTACTTGTAGCTGTCGGCTTGGCAGCTCAGGAGCACGGGCTGGCCCTCTAGCAGCTCCTCAGATGGCTTGGATTCGATGCTGAAGCCGTCGGGGATGGCTGTGGAGGGAGGAGGAAGCCCGGTGACATGGCTCACCCATCCACCTGCTGCGGTGGGCTCTCTGAGTCAGTCCTGGGTCTCCTCCTGCCTCTCTCCTTCTCTTTCTCTCTTGGAGGAGCCCCAGCTGGACTGCTCGCCCCCAGCCCTCCCAGGAACCCGGGTCATCTAGAGTTCCTTGTCACCACGCAGTGGGACTTCAGTCCTCGTTCTCTCTTGGAGCTTGCCACATCCTACCCCGTGCTCAGCTTGAAACAGTGTCTCCGCCGGCTTTTGCCAACGCCAGGCGCCTGTTTTCCTTTGTCTCTGGGCACTTCTGGTCAGGCTCCTGTGGACTCCCCAGTCACCAGTGTTCTCTTGGGCTCTCTGCTGGCACCCTGATCTACACTCTGGGACCCAGTGATGTCTACTCCTGGGCTCAGCTCTCCTGAGGTCACTAGCACATTTGATAATCTGAGTAAACCACAGACCTTCTCCCCAGGGCAAAATTCACAGGTGAGGCACAAGGTCCCAGGGCTTGGGAAGGCGGGGTGTGGGAGTGAGGAGCTGCAGTGAGCCAAGGGCAGCGTGGGGGAGGAGCCTCAGGACTGGGGACAGGGATGCCATTCCATCCCAGTGGAATTTGTCCTTCAAAGCTATTTTTCCTTCCCACAACTGGTGAGCCTTGGATCGCTCTCCTGGGTGCCCCACGGACCCCAGAAACTCAATGAGCCCAAACCTGCCCCCTCCTGACCCTGTACCCAGGCCTGCCCGCCCTGGTCTGGTCACTCACTGGTCACGTAGAAGTAGATGAGCCGCTCGTCCTGGCCCACCTTGTTGGAGACCACACACTTGTACATGGCGGACACATTGGCATTCTGGATCACCAGCTTGCTCACGGTCTGGGAGAGCACAGGAACAGGGATCCGTTTCCTGCTCAAGTTCTTCCAACCTGGGCCCTCCCTTTCTGCAAGGAGGTCGCTGTGCCCACGAGTCAGGGGGAAACTGAGGCTTTGGGCTGGAGAAGACTAAAACTCACAGGACCAGCGACGGTGAAGCAGGGGAGAGAAGGGCCCTGGGCAGCAGCGAGAGGCAGCTGCCCGGAGGAGTCAAGGGACTGCTGGCATAGGCTGTGGTGACGTCAGAGGGTAGCCTCTGGCAGGACCAGAGAGACCTCTGGCTGTGGCTGGACTCAGTCTGTGGCTATGCTGAGGGGGCACCAGGGTGAGACCAAGCCAGGCTTGGAATTCAGGCTCTGGTCACAGCAAAGGCCAGTCACTTCTGGATGGGGTCAGGCCCAACCCAGTCGCTGCTTGCTGAGATCCTCATGAGATGGCCTCCTCGGCCCAGGCCTGTCCACAGCAGCTCTCCCTAGGCTCGGGGTGATCGCGAGGGGTGGGGATGGTTCCCAGAAGGACCGAGGCCTCAGGGAGTAGGAAGCCTGAGACACAGGGTAGGAGAGAGGGCCCCAGGCCCTGCCTGCCTTCGATAGACCCCCGCCCCCACCCCACCCCCAGCCGGGCACTTCCTGTCCAGGACTGGAACAGGAAGAGGCTCTGGAGGTGTGTAGGAAAACAGGAAGTGACTGTAGGAAGTAGGTGCCTTTGTTCAGTACCCCCCTTCTCGGCGTTGCCCCCAGGCTGTGCCAGGGGCTCAGCAGCCCTCTGTGCAGACCTTGTCAGTCTCTAGCCCCGTCCCCTCCTGGCCCTGGGGCCTGTGGGCCGCAGGGGCTCATGCCTGGCCAGGTGGCCTTGGATCTTAGCTTCCTTGTCTGGGAAGCCGCTGGAGATCCGCCCTCCATCGCAAAGCTGGAGGCTGGCCCTCTGACCTTTCTGCAGGCAGGCTGGCTGAGGCCTGAGGACTGCAGGAAGGCTCCTCGCTCTCGGCCACCCTGCCCAGCACTCTGGAAGCCAGGTGGGAATCAGGGGACAGGAGTGGCCTCTCTCTCCTCCCTTCTCCTTCTCCCCGGGCACTCAGGGGCATGGCTGGCCTGTACCTTATTCTTCCCCTCCACAAACTCGGTCCAAGTGTCCAGGCTCTCGATGGGGTTCACGGCATCCTGCGTGGTCACCTCCTTCCAGTCACGGCACTGTGGCATGAGGTCTTGCTGCCGCCGCCGCCGCTGGCTGCCAGGACCAGAAGAGGCAAGGGCAGGTCAGGGATACAGGCAGGAGGGGCCCACTTGGGGGGGTGAGGTCAAGCCCTTGTCAGACTGTCACCTTCTCATACGGGGTAGTGGGTGAGGCTGGCCCTCCGGCCCGGATGAAGGAGATGGGGAGGCGGCCTTGTTTCTGGAGGGCTGTCCCCTTACCCTTCAGGTTCAGGGCTGGCAACCCATTCTACACAGGCCGCCGCCACCACCTTCCCGTGCCCACTGTCCCCACGCGCATGAGCACGGCTGCCCTGCTTCTCTGTGCTCGTTCCTGCAGAGGCCACCTGGGACCTGCCCACATGGTGGCAGGGGCAGCACAGGCCCATTCTGCCCCAGGAGGCGTGTCTGCCCAGCCTCTTCCTCCCTCCCACTTTGGGAGCTGCGGCCTCCCTATGGGCTGGGCGTGCATCCCCAGCAAGCTTGCCCTCCTGCCAGGGTTGGGGGTTGGTCTCAGGGCCCCAAGGGAGGCTCCTGTCTTCCCCTGTGGAGGAGTCAAGCAGGGATACCCCAAAGGCTCCGTCACTTGGCACAGAGCATAAAGGTGGCACACCCAGAGGGAAGGACATTTGGAGGTACTGGCAGTGAGCTGCAGGCCACGTGATCTAGAATACCTATGAACCTTGGACATCTGCGGCGGCCTCAAGCCACCCTTACTGACCACACCGCGGCCACAGCCTGTGGCGTGGCCCTCATCACCCGTCTAGGTTCCCAGCTCCCACACCTCCCCAGCTCGACACCGGGTTCTCTTGCTACAAGGCAAACCTGAGCCATGTCTCCACTGTTCAACACCCTTTGCTGGCTCCCCAGTGCCTTCAAGCCCTGTCTGCCTGGGCGCCCTCCCCTCATCCCCTGCTTCTCTGTCCACAGGCATCCTGTGATGCCTATCTGTCCCGCTGGCATCCTGCTCATGGGAAGGGAACATGGCTCAGTAGGGGGGTGTGTTCTGTTGCTTACAGCTGTGACCCTGGGACAGCCGCCTCCCTTCTCTGACCCGGTTTCCCTGTCTATAAGGGGGTGATGTGAGTGCTGCACATATGAGTTGGGGCACGTGAGCAGGCGTGGTGTGCCACGGGGCTCAGCGCAACCATCCCAGGGGCTCAGATAACACCCTCACAGGCCCCTGCCCCGCCAGAGATGTCCTGCTGGGTGCTCAGAGGCACCGGCTTCCATCTCCCTCCAGATGACGCAATTACGTGTCCAGAGGTCTTCACTCTTGAGGGAGGTGGGTGGGGGCGGGACCCATCCTGTGTCTAGCCTGACCAGCTGGTGGAGGACTACTGCGAGAGGCTCTGAGCCTCCGTCCATGAGGCGAGCCCAGGGATTGGCTATAGCTGAAGGTAGGGTTCAAGTTCAGGGCCCTGGGGAGGCATACAGGGAAGGCCTGGGCTGGAAAGGGGGTTCCTGACGGCTGAGGTTGGGGGCTGCGGCTGTCCAGAGGGCCTGGGCTGGAGCTGTACTCACAGACTGCGCTGGGCAAACATCTTGCAGGGTGTCCAGGGCCGCCAGTGCCACTGGACACTGAGAGGCGGGGGCACCCCGTAGGCCGTGCAGGTAAGGGCCTGGCGGCTGTGGCGCGAGTAGATGCTTGGGGAGGAGGCCTCCTTCTCGTGTATGTGGGGGGGCACTGGGGGCACAGCAGATGGCCGGTCAGCTGGCCCCCAAAGCCATGCCACCCACCCATGTACTCTCCTGTCCTTGGTCCCTGGCCGTACCATTCACCACCAGCTCTAGGCTGATGTTGCACCTCAGGCCAGCAGCGGAGTTCCATAAGGCGAGGGTGTAGATGCCTGCGTTGGCCTCTGTCACCTCCTTGAGCATCAGGGCATGTGGACTGTGGCGCCCGGACACCGCCTTTCCATCCTTGTACCTGGCCAGGGAAGGGTGGTCAGGGCCCATACGGATCCCACCTCAGCCTCCCACTAGAATACACTGTCAGGAGGACGGGGCGGTAGGGCTGGCAGGGTACAGTAGGGATTCGGGGGATACTGGTCTGCAAAGGGACAGCCAAAGTCCCTGGAGATGGTCTCCGGGCCGCATCGGCCAGGTGTGACAACCCTGTCAGGTGGCCGGCTCAGGAGCATCGGTCACTGAGGTGTGCAGTAGCATCTCTTGCCTTGCCACAAAGCCTCTGTGGTCTCTCCACAAGTAGCGAGATGACCACGTCACTGCTGGGGCAGCTGCCCTCTCTCTCCCCGCCTGTGGCTGCAGACAGCCTTCTTTGGTCAGGCTTGCCCAGCCCAACCCAGGAGGGTCCTGCACCCAGCTGGGCATGGCCTGGAGACCCCGTCAGCTTCCTTACAGACATCTGAAGGAGTGGAGGTGCAGTCCCTGCAAGCTGTCTAGCTCCTTGCTGTGTGTGGGCCTCTCCAGACACGTGGGCTTCTCGCCGCCCACCCCTGTCCCAAGGCCTTGCTCTCACTGCCTGCCTCACCTGGACACTCATTTCTGTAGCCAGGAATCTGCAGGGTTCCCTGCCTCCCTCATTTGGGTGGGGGTGTGCCACCTTCCTGCCTGTTCCATGCTGTGGCCTGGCCCTGCCTAGCTGTGCCTGTCGACCGCCGGTCTTCCCCCTGGGCTGGGAGCCCCTCGAGGGAAGGGCTGCCTCCTGTAGAGTTGTGGCCAGCTCCCTACATGTCTGCACACGTGAGGAAGCAGATGCCTCAGCCCCAGAGGGTACGCTGGGACTCCCCAGGCACCTGCCTCTGTGGTCTGGACTCTGTATGGAGATGCTCCTTCTTCGGACAGGTGCCTACCCTGGTGCTGGGTATGGCAGGCCAGAAAGACATTGCAGTGTGGCCCAGGAGAGGCATGTTCCTCAGGCAGAGACCCATTCTCAAATGGGACACCACAGTGGGGACCACCTGCCTGGCTTGGGGTCGCAGCATGAGGCAGGGCACAACAGGGGCGGTACTGAGGCGCTGCCATCTGTGTGGCTCTGGTCCTGAGTGCCACCTGCCAGATCTCAGACCCTAGGCAAAACCCCTTCACTGCTTCAGGCCTCAGTGGAGACGCCGCACCTTGCAGTTGTTGTGAAGTTTAACCCAGACGGTGCCAGCAGCGTGCTGGACACACTACGGGTGCTTCGGAAGCCAAGGACCAGCCTGTCTGTGTGTTTGCTAGACCATCCACCCAGTCACTGCTCCCTGTCATCTTGTGATGGTGCCATAGGAAGGGTGGGCACTTGAGCCCCTCTTGGAGGCAGGGCTTGACCAAGTGGGAAGGGGCCAGATGTGGCAGGAGTGATCCAGTAGAAAGCTGTTCGGAGAGGCAGCTGCCTGAGGATCAGGTTGACTCTGGATGCAACACAGCTGCCACTTGCCCAGGGCAGGCTCTGTCCTGCTGGCTTTGGAGGGAGGGTACAGGGCCCAGGCGTCTCCAAGAGCTGCACCTATGACTGAGGCTCCAGGATCTACCAGTGCCCTCAGGACTCTGCCCCACGGACCTTGGCACTGACTAGGTGCCTTGGATAGACCCTAAAGTCTGTGCCCTCAGTGGGAGCGTCACACTGGACTCAGGGCCAGGACACCCTGGACCTTTGCAGGAGAGACTAGCCCCTAGCTAGTGCAGGGGACCCTGGGTGAGGACACCCTGGGCCTCTGCTTGCCCAGCTCCAGGAAAAGTTGCCCCGCCAGGAGAGAGGTGCCCAGGCTGAGAAGGAGGAGGCTCCTGGGCTAGCTGGAAAAGCACAGAGCAGACACCCCTCCTGGGGACTTAGGGCTCAGGTAGGAATACCCTTCTCCTTTCCTGGCCCTTGCTCCCTATGCAATGGGGACTCAGACTAGAGTGTGACTGACCACGCGTGAGCCATGTGGGCTACTCGGATGGCCTGAGGATGTGTTTGTGGTGGGTGCTGTGCCCCCCAGAACCTGCAGGGAGCAGCCAGCAGGGACAGAGCCACCTCTGGGCCTTGGCACACCGCAGGGGAAGCCTCATTCAGCTTGCCAACTGGGGGTGTGCAGGGGCTCCAGCAGCCTGTGGGTCTCCCGGAAGCTCTCTTTGCTCCCGGCCACACAGCGCAGGCCCAGCCCAGGCACTGTGTCAGGTCCCCAAGGCTTCTCCACATCTCTGCACAGGAGGGTCCTGGGAGAGGCAGCCTCGTTGCAAGGAGGCACAGGGAACCCTAAGACACTGCTGCAGGGCACACGGGGGTCCAGCCGTCAGGAGGCAGTTAGGAAAAGCCCCTTGCTGTGCCCGCCACACCCACACGTAACAGAAGGCCGGTATTGAAACTTTTCACGGTTTGGCAGGAACACGGGTTGACCTTCCATCTGAAATATCGCATTATATGTGGGCTCCTTAGGGGGTCTCCTCAGAGAGGCCCCCTGCCATGCCCGGTCTGTGTGCAGGCCCTGATAGGGAGGATGCTGCCCTTCTTCCCCCATGGTCTGTTCTCCCTCTGGGCTTGGCAGGGTAGCGGCGGAGTTGGGGGGAGCCAGGGCTGTTACCATTGGAACTCAGGCGGGGGGTACGCTGCCAGCTTCACGGGCAGCTTCACCAGTTCATCACCTGCGGTGGCCTCCAGAATGGGTCCTTTGAGCCACTCGACGCTGATGAAGGGCTTTTCTACCAGACAGGAGAAGTCAGTGTAAATTCAGGGCTGGCTGACTCATCAGACTGACCAGGGATTCCCACCATGACCCCTGCAGCCCCTGCAACCGGACACCTGCAGACTGGGGCTGGCCATGCCGCCCCGGTGCCGGAGCTGGGCAGCTCCTCTGCTCGTGGCCCTCCCTTCCCTCTGGCTGGACTCCCAACTGCTCAAGTGCACCACGACCTCTGGGCCCAGGCCCACGTGGCACAAGGACCCTTGTTTCCCAGGCTCGATGGCACCCGACCCACCCCAGGCCATACCATGCACAATGACCTCAGTGCTGTCCCGAAATTTCTCGACGCCGTTGTTGGCCTCACACACATACGAGCCCAGGTCGTGCTGGCTGACGTTGTGGATGGTCAGGATGCTGGAGAGCTCTGTGTGGGTCTGCTGGGAGCGTCGCTCGGGCACCCACTTACCCCGCTCTGCCTGCCCGCACCCAGGGAAGCCCCAGGTCAGCAGGCGGGCTCCTGCACAGCTACCCCACCAAAGGCACACCTCCCACCCGGGCCAGCCAGAAGCCTTGGACCCAGACTCTGAGTTTTCTTTGGGTGGAAAACTTGCCCATCAGACTGGGGCCTCACCTGCTTCCCGGGGTAGTCCCAATCAAAAGTGACACCTGAGTCGAACTCAGCCCACACGGTGCAGTTCAGGACCAGCTTCTCCCCGACTAGCAGCTCCAGTGACTTCTTGGGGAACAGCTGGATGTCATAGAGCTCGTTGCCTGGTGACACACAAACAGTGACTCCCATGCCCTCACAGGACAGCACCCAATGAGGCCAGCGAGGCAGTGACAGCCCCGTTACTGTGAATGGGCCCTGGAGGTAGCCCCTACCTGTGATGTGCACGAGGAAGGGGTTGGAAAGGAAGTCCTGGTCCCCCCAGGTGGTCTGGCACTGCAGGTACAGGGCATCACGCAGCAGCGGCGTGGGCACCCGCATGCCCCGCCGGTCGTCCCACACCACCTCCTGCCCGTCTGGCCACAGCACTGAGCTTTGCTGGAGGGACAAGGCCACCATCAGCGCCCAGCTGCCCCCTGGCTCCTGGCCAGACGGGTGGCCGCCTTTCCCAGGGGTGGGCTGGGAGGGCTGGCTCCTGGGGTGGGGGTGGGGCCTTACAGAGCGCAGCGTGACGTTGAGGCCGGGGATGGACACCAGACAGGGCACCCACATGGCGTCCTTCTTGTTGACCAGGAGTGTGTCAGCCTTGTTGATGAATGGCTGTTTGAAGTCTATGGAGAGGAAGTAAGGTGTTGGGGAAGGGACGCGGAGGTGAGGCTGGGGCAGGGCTCCACGGGCCTGGGCAGTGCTGGTCCTAAATCAGCTGCTCGCTGGAGCAGGAAGGGCCCCATCCTCTCCTCCTGCCAGCCCAGGGTCTACAGGCTGGGGACGGGGTGGGCCCCAGCTGCCCAGGACTCTGCCCCAGCCTGGCGTGTCTCCGGGTCTCACCTCTCACGAACACATAGGAGCTGGCGGCCGTGGTGCCCTCGACGCGGGCCTTGATGTACTTGTAGTAGCAGAGGTAGCACCCCGTGTTGCCGGCGTGCACCTCTCCCAGCAGCAGCACCTTGCAGTAGGGCCTGGTTTCTGTGCCTTCGCAGTCTTGCACCACCCCTGTGTCCTCGCTGTCCTTGTCCCCAGCGGCTGGTGCCTCCTGAGCTCCTGGCCAGGCCCACTCAAGGGGGTGCTGTCCCCTGGCAGAGGACAGGAGAGGTCAGGGCGGCCCCAGCGGCACCCCATGGGGATTATCCCTGAGGAGCCTCCCTCAGGCTGAGCCTCAGGTTTGTCTCAGCCGGAGCGTGTAACTGCCTAGGGTTTGGGCGCACACTATAGACCTTGCCCGGGCCTGGGCACTCCCCGAACCCCGGGCCTCTACCAGGCTCCCGGGGCTGGGTGTGGCAGGCTGGCCTGTGGAGAAGCACGGGCCTTAGATCACAGCTGGGAAGCTGGGGAGGGTACCATCTCCGGAGCCCCAGAGGGAGGGCCTGGGGTTAGTGAAGGGTGGCTGGGAGTGGGTGCAGGTGACCTGGGAGGTGGCCTGGGGTTGGTGTGAGGTGTCTGGAGTGGGGTACAGGGTGATGGTGCCCCATATGATATGCCAATGGGGATGTGTGGGTGACGCTGAGCTGGGGAAGGGCCAAAGTCACCCACAGCCCGGGAGACCGCACAGCCCTGAGGCCACCCTGCCCTGGGGGGGGCTGCCGTCTGGGCCCTCAGCCACCACTTCCTGCCTTGGGCTTCTGGAGCCTCCCTGGCCTGCCAGGTGGGAGAGGGACCCAGTACCTGCAGGAGATGGACAGGCTGTCACCGGTGTCGATGACGTATGACTCCTCTGTGATGTTCAAGGTCGGGGGGGTCATGGAGTAGCCACTCGCCAGGCCTAGGGTGGGAGACAGGGTCAGAGTGGTGCTGGGTTGTGAGTTCACATGACGTTAATCTGGCATGGTTGGGCCTTCTGCAACCTGAGAGCAGAACCCCCTCAGGGCCGGAGCAGCCCAGGTACTCAGCACCTCGTGGCCTGGACTCACATTTGCACTGTGAACAGCACCAGTCCCAGGCTCCAAGACAGCTGGGAACCTCTCCCACAGGCTCACCCTGCCTTGCCCCGCAGCCTCCAGCCTTGTCTACACACCGCCCCGGGGCCAAACCCCAACCTCTGACCATGGTGAGCCAAGCTGCCCGCCTGAAGGAGCAGGGGGAGGGGTGCTGGAGCACGCTACCTCCGCACCCCGGCCCCTGCGGTGCTGCTGCCCCAGGCCTCACTCCTGCACTGCAGACCTACAGCCGCTGCTTCCCGGGGGCCCTGCACATCCCAGGCCCCCCACACCATGCAGGCCTTGGCCCTCATGCCTGCGCTCTGCCAGTGACCTCGCCCCCTCCCAGCCCACATGGTGTCACCTCACAGATGTCCTTTGGGTCCTTAGCTTCTCACCCCCTCACAGTCCTGGGCTGCTGCCCCAGCTTCCTCTGGGCTCTCCCTGCCCAGGCCTCCCTAGATACCCCAACCCTGGTACAGGGCTCTTCCTCAGACACACAAATAAACTCGCCTCACCTGGCTGAAACCCACCCTCAGCCAGAGACTGCAGGCTGGCTGAGCTGGCCCTTCTGTGCTGCAGGACCCAGGGTGTGGACTGCCCCCACCCACTGGGGTGTCTGTGTGTGTGTGTGTGTGTGTGTGTGCGTGCACATGCCCCCATGTGTGTCTGTAACTGCAGGCCTGGGTGTGTGAGTCTGTGTGTACGTATGTCTGAGTGGTGTGGCTTTGTGTGTATGTGCGAGCATGCATGTTTGTGTGTCTCTGACACGCTAGTGTGGGTACACACATGGGTGTGTATGTGGTGGGATCCCGGTATGGGTGGGAGCAGGCCCGGGGGAGGTCTGGGCCTGGAACTCTGGCAGATGCATCCTGCCGGGACCATCCTGAGACAACAGGAAGGGAGGGCTGCATGGCCAGAGGCCCAGGGCCGCGTCCTGTCCCTCCTCCAAGTCCCTGTCCTCCTGGGGGCACAGCCCGCTCTTCTGCCACCAGGCGCCTCCAGCCCTGCAGGTCCTGGGGGTTTGGGGCAGCAGCAGTCTGGCTCTCCTGCCCTCCCAAGGACAGCTCCCTGAGGCCCAGAGTCCTGCCCTGAAGCTAACGGGGGTGGGGTGGAGCCCAGGGAATCCTTGACCCCAAGCTGCCCTAGGAAGCGGCACCAGGATCTCATTTCTTCTGCACACCAAGACCTCATTTCAGCATCACATGGACAGTACAGTCACCAGTGAATGACCTTTTGTCTCTCCCTTCTATTCCTTTCTCCTGGCCAAACCCTTCCAGACACTGCTTCGCTATGGGTCCAGAGCAGGAAGGACCTTAAGCCATGCATCTAGACCCACTGTGCAGACTGGCACACTGAGGCCCTCCAGCCACCCTCAGAAGGTAGCGTCTCACCTGTCCGCTGCTGTGACTATCACCAAATCTTAGCTTTGCCAACCCTCCCTTGGGGCCCCGAGGTGGAAGGGGGTTGTGGGCTCTGCAGCCCTTTCCCCTGGGTGGTGCCAGGCCTTCACATGCACAGCAGCGGGGCCTGGGCACTAGCAGCCCCTGCTTTCCACCCTCGGGGTGCTGTGAGAGGAGTCTGGGCCAGGGGCTGGGGGATCCCTGCAGACAAGAGGCTCCCCTCAGGTGGTGGGGGGCCAAGAAGGAATCCCTGGGAGGGTACCTCTGAGCTGGGCTTTGATGGAGGGGGATTTTCTCCCAGGTAGTGGAAAGTGAGTAAGTCCATGCCAGGAAGACAGCTGGGCATGTATGAGGGCACCAGAGTGGGCGGTGGTCTGTCCTCAGAGCTACAGAGAAGGGAAGATGATGAGCATGGGGCGAGACTTATTGGGATGAACAGACTCCGCCTTCCCAGTGGGCCTAGTGAGCGGTCAGGAGGAGACCAGGCTTGAGGTCGGTGCCCACCTGCCCAGCCTGATGCACGCCCTTACCGAGGGAAAGAGAACACTGCCCACACCCATGGAGGGCTGGAGTGTTGAGCTGGTGGCTCCTCCTTCTCAAGAGTGCACATCCAGCACACACCTGCCAGATCCGGCGTGTGGCAGCTGGCAGCCCAGATTCCTCGGACGGCTCCCCTCCGTGGCGGGCTGGGCCTCTGCCCTCTAGCTCCCTCTCTCCAGCTTCTCTCCTGAGAGGCATGGCCCTCCTCCCCCTGACCTCCCAAAGTGCCTGTTGTTTTCCTATCTTAATACTTGTCCTTTTTCCTGGGACATCCCCCTCCTTCCTTCTTTCCGTCCTGAGGGCCTCCCTCTTGAGGGTCTAGTCCTCATTACTCAGGCAGCACCAGCCGCCTCCTCCTCACGCGCCTGCTAGAACACACTCAGACTGAACTGTGGTTTTGTGACCACCTCTGAACAGAGGCTTGATTTTATTCATCTTCCTAAGGCCAAGACAGAGGGGGTGTGCAAAGGCGGTTCAAAAGGTGGATAGGAGAGTGGCTGCATGGAGGCTGGATGGGAACGGGATGGATGAATGATGGATCGCCAGATGAATAAATGGACAGATTTGTTCAGACAGATGGGTAGGTGGGTGGGTGGCTGAGTGGATGGATGGAAGTGGGTGAATGGAAGTACGGGTGGGTGGGTGGATGGATGGATCAAAGTATGGCTGGATGGGTGGTTAAACTGCTGGACAGATGGATGGGTGGGTGGAAGGATGGATGTGTGGAAGAGTGGGTGGATGGGTGAAAGGTAAGTGTTATGGGTGAAGGATGGATGGGGAAGGGGAGCCTGTAGGAGCTTCCTTCTGAAGCACCGTACCACCGAAGGAAGCAGCTGCATCACTGCTAAGCGGGACCATCCATCATGCTTGCCAACCCTTTTTGCCCAACTGTGCAAGCTCTCCTTTGTCGTGACATGCCTTGACTTACTCCAGTGCCCCCCTCTGCCTTCACCAACCTTCCACTGTGCCCTGTGTGGTCAGCACACTTTCCTGTAACCTCACTGTCCACTCCGAATGTCCCTTCCTATCTTACCTGAAGCCCAGCTTTCTGGCCACACCACTGCCCCTGGGCGGTTACCGCTCTCCACCCCACATGCCTGAGGGCAGAACGCCTTGCAGCCACCTGCCCTCCCTACGGCAGTCCCTTTGAGGGTCTCGCTCTTTGGCGGCACCGCCCTCTTCCCCACTAAAGCTGTCATCAGCTGCACCCCCCACCACTTCCCCTCATTCTCTGCTGACCACAGCTCCTGGCTCAGCATCCCCTCCCCACCCCAGCTCCTGTCCTCCGTGACTTCCCCTTCCACAGGGCTGACTCACAGCACTCTGGCCTCTGAGATCCCCCCTGCACGGTCCTCCCCTCTTCTCACCCAGTTCTGTGGGCGCACCCTGGACCTGCTCATCACCAGAGGCTGCACCACCTTGGAATGCCTGTCTCCTGCGTCTCTCCTCTTCCTCTGTTCTTGCTTCACAGCAGCCACGTCCCTTAGCCTCATCAAAGCCTCCACTGCTTCCTCCGCAGCCCTCGGTGCCCTCCTGGTGCTGCGCTGTCCTGGTGCATGGGGTCTGCAGCCTCCTCCTCTGCATGCTCCCTCACTTTCTGTCCTCCATGCGACCCAGAGACGGCATGCGTCCCGGACGGCATGATCTGGCAGCACAAAGCCCTCTGCACGGGCTTCTCCCCCTCATTTTCCTGGGTGCGCACAGTTCAGGGTGCTTCTCCTCTCTCACTCTCAGCATCGACAGGGCAAAACCAAGAGATGGAAACACCCTATCTTCCCACATCCCAACCTACGCTGCCAGCCAGGGCTTCAGAAACCCTCTGACATGCCTGCCCCCAAACCAGGCTCTCTATCGTGCCCAGGGTCCACCCACCACAGATTCTCTTCTGATCGCCAATCTTTCTCTATGCGATCATCTTCCATCTTAAAAACAAAACAAAATAATGCCTTGGTTCCACACTCTCTTCCAGCCACTGCCCCTTTTCCTATCCCCCTGTGTGGCCACAGCTGTTCACTGTCCCCACTGCTGGTACCCCCTCATCCACCCATGGGGTGCAGCTCCTCCACTTCACGGAGCCATTGGGCGGGGCCTCCCATGACCTGCATCCTGCAGACCTAGTGGGCACGCAGGGCAGGGAGCGCGCATCCTCTCCCCTGGGCAGTAGCTGGGACTACCTCTCCCTACCTCCCCTCTGCCCAACACGCAGTGCTGGCGCTGGCCACCACCCTTTTGAGTCCAGACACCTCCCAGGTCTCTAGCTCCAGCCAGGATGACTGCTGTTTGCAACTTCAGCTTTAAGCATCCAGCTGCCCACTGGACTCGGACACCCCACAGACACGCCGAGGTCTGCGTTTCTAATGCCAAACTCCGGACTCGCACCAAAGGCTCCTCCCTCGATAGCTGCTCTCCCCAGATCCTCTCCCAGCCCGTCCATTGACCAGACCACTGAAGCCCATCAGGCTGGACACACCTTAGGGCCCACCCCTGCTCTCCCACGGGGGCCAGCACGGCTGCAGTCACCCCAAAGTGGCTTCCTGGGCCCGCTCCTGTCCTCCCCCAGGCCTGCCTCTGGGCCCCCCTCCCTGCAGTTAGTGATGTTGTACAAAGCACAGGCCTGATCACACCTGTGCTTCAATCTGGTCAGTGACTTCCCTTGTGATTTCAAGAAAATCCAAAATCCTGGTCCTTGCTTCTCTCTCCACACCCTTGTGGTTCACGCCCTTCATGTTCACGTCCTCCAGCCTCCATAGCCTCCAGACTGTTCTGTGCCCTCAGGCTGGCTTCTCACACTCAGGACTCAGCTGAGACATGGCCTCCTCACCCCTTCAAAACGGCTCCATCCTAACCTCCTGGCTGCTCGGAATTATTTATTTATGTGTTTGTTTCAGTTATGTCTGTCCATG